ATGAGGAATTTATCTGCCTCAGACAAGCAACCTGTGCCAGCTTTCCATTAATTACATTATTCATATTCACAGTATCTGATAAAAGACCCTGCATGTCTCTGGAAATGTCATTACCATTCCTTGCAGCATCCTTTCATACATTTCACCCTTTTCCCCCCAAAGAAACTAAAGGTGGAGTAAATCATAATTGAGGCAGGAAAGGATAGCTCTGTTCTCATTTGTCCTGCTCTGTAAAGTTAATTTACGACCCCGGCAACTTAAAAAGGGGATAATTCTGCAGAAGAAATATGGTTCAAATTGATTTTTCCGTCATGATAGCCCAATAACCAACCACAAAGGTATTCTCTCCAACGGTCCATAAATTGGCCAGAGTGAATTATGTGTCGGCCTGGCTGTTAAACGATGTCTCTCTGTGGCAGTCCTTCTTAGGTACATGCTTTTAGACCAGTGCCTCTTAGGAAGCAAAAATCGACAAATGTGAATATACATGAAGAATGGCACTAAAAGTATGAACAGACAGCTCTAGCCATACCAGATTTTGTGGAAGAGAAGTACTAAAACTCTGCTTGAGATCTATAATAATTTAAGGCAAAGAATAATATTAATGCACTCTTTTATTTTGAGGGTTGTCACATCAGTCGATTAACAGTCTATATCTACACCAAATCTACTGCAGGTTGAGGCATTCATACCACAGGCACCAACAAACATGTTGCTAGTTAAAATGACATAGTACATAATTAGACAAATTACTCTTTACATCAGAGATTAAAATGTTATCCAACACAGCATATTTTCCCCGAGTAAACAAATCTGCTCGCTTGGCAAAATGTGTGAATGTGTTTTGGAATACAATCTTCAGGATGGTAAATGAACCCCTGCCTTAAGGTTCATGTATAACCATGGTTCCACTGATCTTTGTTGTGAGGTAAGGTACCTTTTTTCTTGCTTAATAAAATTTTGAATATTGAATTGAACATTTCCTTTTTTGGCATATGCTGCAATTGGTAATTCACTTTTTTCATGCTCTGGTTTTTGGCATATGCTGCAATTGGTAATTGGTAAATTGGTAAATCACTAACCGCTAACCTCAAGTAGTTTTCATCTGAACAGCTGTTTTCATTGCAAAACAGTGGTTAAAATGATTGTGAACTTAACAACTAAACATTACTATTATACTACTATTATATCATGTATAGAATTAGTAGAAGTTTCATTTCCTTATTGCTGGTAATGTTTTGATTTTGTATAATTTTTTATCCTAGTTCTGCTCATTACCAGTTAAAACATCGGACTATTCTCCATTTATTAAATCACACAGTTTTATATATTGTTAACCTAGAGCTATTTTCTTGTTAACAAAGACTCCAAAAACTTAAGTTAAGACTGTTTTTAATAAACTAAAATAAGCCAACAATAATTCAATATCACTTTGCTAAGTAACTGCTAATGCCTCAGTGCCAGCCTTGAATTTGACTTTGCTGCTGTGAAAGACGCATAACCAAAAGCCAAAGAAGGTAATTACTGACAAACAATAGGATTTATATTCCTGGAGAAATATGTGTGTAATTACATTTGGGAAATCGTCTCAGGCTCTAAATTCTGGGTTAAAGCGGCCAACTTTCTGTCAAAACATCCAGAAATTTCATTTCCTACGCATCCAAATGCAGGTACATCTGGTGTTTAAAAGACTATACACAAGATTGATGTTTTAAAGTGACATCTAGAAGGTGCCATGAGTAACACTCTGGCTTGTAAAAGCTTTCCACTTGGCTGCAATCACCACACAGAGTTCATTTACTACTGGCTTAAACCCCCCAAAATTGTCATCTGACTACAGAAAAATTGTCAGGAAATAGTGATAATAGAGCAAGGATCTGTATCTAAGAAATGAACCGCACATGGATGAAAACAGCAAAGGTACCATTCAAAATACTATAAAGTTATATACTCTAAGGAGTCGCTAAACATTAGCAAAAAATAAGGCGTACTTACAAAAGTCTGAATTAAAGGCTGAAAAGATTTTAGCCAACAATAGCTTTGAGTTATCAAAAGAAATTAGAAATCAGCTCACTTCATTTGAGCTCCGGCTAAAGGCAGAATATTAGTTGAAATTAGTTTTAAATCAGTTAAACTTAGTTAAATTTAATTAAGAGTTGACTGTCTTTTTCAGTCTGACTCTCATATTTGAAGAGTCAGTGAAGTTCGTAATAAATACAAAGGTTCTTTCTAATCGTTAAGTTACTGCGACGATATTTGAAATGTGGTCGAAAATTATGAAAATATGTAAAACAAACAAACCAGATGTTGATCTGAGATACGGAGAAGCCAGTTTGAAGTTGAGGCCGGCTGCAGTCAGATGTTGACTGGCCCCTTACAAGATGCCACAACAAAGTGGAAAACAAGGACAGTTTTAACTCTTTGCCAAGCAATTAACTGGCAATTTGGCAAGGCCGAGACTTCTTCCCAGGTTATTAACCCCCCCCCCCCCCCCCCCCACACACACACACACACACTTTTTCACACAAAGCTCATGTTGTTCCACACCTTCCATTTCTCCAATGGCCCTGCAGCCATTATATTAGTTGTTCCAGTAGAGCTTTTCATTTTTGTCTGTTTAAAGGACACAAGGAAGAAGTGTTTCCACACTCGCCCTGGCAACCTCTGCTGAGTGGACTACATTCATTCTGTCATCTGCATTGCTGTGGAAAAGAATTCTGTCATGCAATATAAATGACTGCCCAAGAGGGGCAAAGTGGCTCATGAATACTGTGCTCTCTGAGCTCTTGTTACCGGCTCCAGTCCCCATTTAAATTGTAGATATAGATTATTGCTTTACATTCACTGGGAGTGAGGAATGTGAACAGAATGGGATTAAGTGACGTGATTTAATTTGAGTTAAACAAACGCCAATGTATCAAACAATCCGTCACATGTAACAGATTTACTGTAGAGATTTGCAGCCTAAGTCACACTGGCTGCTCCATTCCTCACGGGCGGCGAGAGCAGATAATATGTACTCATTAAATACTTTAGCTGAATTTCCCTGAGACACACTCAGGCTGTGTCCGAAATCACTCACTCACTCCCCGTGTAGTGGACTCATCGGTTAAATGAAAAATCGGACACTTCTCCAGCACGCAGGTAATCACGTAATTACTGTTGCGCAATTAAAACGGAGGACGGATTCTGCTCCTCTCTCTGCAATGTCGTCACAACTGCGAGATATATTGTTTGGCTAGTGTACATCGGACAGTACACCAGATTTTTACTACAAAATGGCAGTCACAGGCTAACTTTAAGCAATATCTCCGTTAATCTTTTTTCCAATCTAAGGTAGCCTTTAGTTAATTTTGAGTTATTTTTTAGTTACATACCTGGTGATACACCTGTAGCTCTCTTTATACTACATGACGCCTCATTTAGTTGTCTTTATCCTGCACACGTTTTCCTACATAATAAAAGCAAAATTGGTATTTTATTTAGCTATTAGTTGCTAGTTAGCTAAATATTCCTGATGACCAGATCAGCTGTTGCGTTTTTTGTTTGTTTGTTTTTTCCTTATATTTTAAACCATTGGACTTGAATATAAATAATGAGCTGTAATCTCAAGAACTATATAGATTTTTTTTAAACTTGCAGATTTAAAAAAAAAAGAAGTTTAGTTAGACTGAACTCCACCTCCTGATGAATTTGTGTAATACATACAAATCAGTAAACATTGGGTGGCCAGGTTCCTGGTGAATTTAGATGTATACATTTAACTGCAGGTATATCTGCTGCTTTGAAAACTATACCCATGATTGGTTTACTCATTCATATTCATTGAGTGAATATTTAACTCAAAGCATCCATGGTGCATTATAATTTCATTTTTTGAGCCCGGCAGGGATGGGAATCTATATGGAGTGAATATTTCAAGCTTTTTTTTTTTTTTTTTTTGCCAGTGTTAACTATAGTAGACACTAATAATTTGCTGATATTATTTCAGCTGAGTAAATTAAAAATTCATCACAAAAGAATCAAGTCACCTCTAACGTTGCTCCTGAAACGTAAGATGCTAAAATACCTTATCTAGTGCACACCAGACGTGGCAGAAAATAAATGAACTCCAATAGTTTTGACTGGATAACTTTTTGCTAGAATTTGCATCTTGGTGTCACATTCACAGCAGTCACACCAGAGCAGTCCCTTAACTTTTGTTTAATTGTATTTGGAAGTAATTTCACCTAATAAAACACCTTAGACCTCATTACAAAATCCAATCACTTGTGAGGGATAAGGTGTTTCTTCAAACCACACTGATACGCTCACGTCAACATTCCGCTGCGCTCCCATCAATTGTTATTCAAAGGGGAAGTTCATCTTCAATCACGGAAGCAATGATATTGTATTAGCAGCTACAGCAGAAATGAAACTAAATAATATGCTGCAGGAAAAGCTGAAGGATGAACATCCCACAAATCCTTGCAAGTCCAGTCCACAATTATCCTCCCTTTCACCCTGGCTCCAATTTGTCAACCTTCAGACTTTCCCACCTTTAAATTGGATTAGGCTGTTGAGTGCACATGATAATTTATTCCTGGTCCTGTTTCACGGGGTTGCAACAGTGTGTCTTCAGTGACAAACAGCAGAGCGCCGTATGAATGTAGGACAGCTAAACACTAATTAAGCCCAATCGTCTCCGAGTCCATAGGCGTTGGACTCGGTGTTGTGAGCAGCACTGTCAGTGTCGGTGTGTGATTACACTGGCTCCATTCACAGACTGTCTGCTTCTGTTTGTTCTGTTCTCCGGGACATGAGCACAGACATACAGCACATTACTGCAAATTCTAGTTCAACACTGTGGAGAGCGCTTTTACATCCATCTTCTCACACAGCCGTCACGTCCACATACATAATGAAGAAGGCTCCCGGTGTAATATAATCTGGCTCAGACATCTTTATGTCATCTCATCATTTTATCATTACGGCCATTATCCTTATAGAATATCACTCACCTTTCTTGTCCCCAAAGAACAGGGTCTGTTGTGCAGGGTTTGACCACTGGAGGGAAGTGTTATCATTGTAATCCACACGACAGGTCATGTTGGCTGTGCCCCCCTCCACCACTGTCACATTCTGAGTTATGGGGAACTGACCTTGGCTACCTGTGGGGATTGGAAGACAGAGTTTAAGGTTGTGGTTTGTGAAGAAGGCGTTTTTTTTTTCATGGTGTGTAGCTACTTTTCCCCTTTCTTGTTTTTCATGTTTGAAGTCTCTGAACCAGAGGGCGGACCTTGGTACATATAGGTCTGGCCTTTCTCAGGGTCACCCATCCCAAGAACACATATATACTTTATGTATATTTATTACACCATAAAATGAAATTTTACATAAGGCAAAAACACTACAAACTACATTTTGAACAAAGAGCTTAAAAATAAATACGCAGAGCAGTATTAATACTTCAAAATATACGTCCAGGCATACACAAAAGTCCTCCATCAAACCAAGAAGAATCAGTTGTACCACTTTATTCACAATATGACGAACCAAATGTGATCTATTTCATGGTGCAATTTCCTTAAGCCTACTGAATACACCAGTGTCACGTTTTACAACCTATGAAGTGAAGAAATCCTTCATTTCTCTTTCAGTACGGAGAATCATCACTGAAATCAACGAGTCATTATTTAATACATCAATAAAAGTAAAGACTTTAGAAGAATACAAAGAAGAATTTATAAAAATAGTAGCTTTATATCATTTCATAGTGATCACAGTCAGCTAAACAGAAAGTGTGTGGAGAAATCATACTTTTGTTTTTTTCATTTATTGATGAATAAATTAGTTGATTTCATTCGTTCATAGTCCCTGCAGCTCACTGAGACATGGGAACAACAATGATTTCATTCGTTCATAGTCCATGCAGCTCACTGAGACATGGGGACAACAAGCAGAGTCTGAGTCTTTCTAGTAAACAGAGTGTCAGTGTACAAAGACAATGCCAATAACAACAATGAATTGCTGTATAGTGACAGTGCCACATGGAAATAATAACTGTACATGACTGTTATTCCCCTCATTATTTCCTCTTAAGAATCTAAGACTACGGACCCTACAATGTTCTAGTTCCTGAGATAAATTCAAATCACCTGGTCATAAGGAGGCGCCCAGGCTGCATCAGTGCAGTCTGTATATTCTTAGTTTCACATTAAAGAGCCGTGCAGATCTTAAAAGTTAATGTTCTGGTCATCATTATCACCCAATTAGAAGCATGTCTTTACTACATCGCAGAAAAAGAGAGGGCTTAATGTGGGTTTGGCTGACAAAGCTGTCAACATCTGTTGGACCAGAAAAGTGTAGGGCTTTTTAATGGCAGAGACAATAGTGGGTTTCACTCTCCCTCAGTGGCTTCCTCATTGCCTTATTGCAGCACCATAATTGGGTAGCATGGCCTAATTAGATGTAGTCATGTTCTGCTGGAGTGTCGAGAGCTGCAGCTGGGTGGTAAATTGACACATAATCCTAGACACTGTGGGCCTTCCATCTGAGCGACTGCTTTGCCCCACAACACCCGCTCGTCAGAGTGTGCAGCACACATCCAAATCAGCCCTAATCACCCAGCCTTGCTGGATTTTACCTTCTTATGCTGGGTTTGTACATGTCCTCTCTGCAAAATCTCCTAATTGCATTGCAAAAACATTTCAATGCTGCTTATATTTTTTTCTGAACTCTGCCAAGCTGTCTGAAATCTGCAATCTGTAAGTGGAAGAAAAAAAACAATGTGTGGGCTAATATGAGCCTGAGCAGCTCTTTAGGGGATGACAGAGCTGGAGTTCATGCCTGAAATGGCTACATTTGTCTTGTAGCGTATCACTGTCCTCATACTGATCCTTACTCCAGTTCAGACTTGAAATGGATCTGAATGTGAAGGTGACATTGTCTTTGTCTCTCCAAGGTGCCGCTAACAGCAGGGACATTCCAGTTAAGGGAGCAGCTGTCTGCCTCATTACTCCACCTCACATGGGAGAGGTAGAAGGGGGAGGGGGGCGGGACCGCCAGAGGTCTGTGGACTTTACCTGACCTCCATTGTCCTGACGAAGGCCATCAATGGCTGGGGGTGAAGGTGAGGCTGACTATAAATAGTAAACGTTGAAAATAATTCCAGCCGTGTGCACTGCTTATACTGCATGCTCATTGCACCCAATCAGGCATCAATACATCAACATACAGTGTATGTCAGCATTGAATCCCACCACCATCAGGGTATTATTTAGATGTAGCCGCTGGGTGTCAGCTAATGTGGACCAGAAACGCCAGCTACGTATGCAGTTGTATAAGCAACACACTTTCCAGAAAAGTTTGTACACTTCTGAACAACTACTGAATAATCATCAGCTGTTTGGGAGCTAAGTGTGAAAAAGGTTAAAAAGGCCACAGCAGCACAGATTTAGACTGTTTCTGAATGAGGAAGGTAAGAGGAAGTGTTTTTGTACAACACTGATGTACTAACATTTTTGGAAAGAAAACTTATAGCTCAATGTTGAACATATTTTATAATATAGTCATGATTTTCATTAAAAAAATATCCCTTAATATCCAAATAAAAATACCTGAGGGCCTTCCCCAGTCAGGAGAAAACTGACAATGTTACTGCAGTGTCGAAAGCTATTTGTAATTGGTGGGGAATCCTGTCATTTTCCAAATTAAAACATCTGCTCTGATAATCACAAAGCCACATAACAATATGTGCTTTTGACCTAATCACGGATAGACTGAAAGGAAATCTGGTTTTCATTCCAATTAGATATTATTATTTATTATCAATTGCTTAATTCACATACTATTTGGATAAAATAGATAGAATAGATTATTAAAGATCTAAATCTCTAAAAAAAAAAACTAAATTAGAGATTTGGATTTTTAATGGAACCATTAAGAAACTGCTGTGCATGTGTGTTCATCTGTTTCGTTGTCACCGCACCATCACTGTCGGCCTCCAGTTTTCATTGTTTACTATCCACAGTGTGGGAAGAATGTGAAAATCAAAATCAGCGACGAACGTAACAACTGAGTAACACTGTGTTGGAGGTAAAATGCAGAATGGCTTCAGCACCAACCTGTTGCTGACATTTCATCTAATTGTGCCTGCAGGGCCAATAGATTCTGTGTAATCAGATTCACATTCATGTTGGAGGCGTTTTCTCACAGTGTGGGAGCAGGAACTGAGCTTCCCCTAACACACATTATGAAATTCCTTTGCCTTGAATTTTTGCAGTAAGTAAAAGATGAAGAACATAGTATCCTTTTTGATTGAATGTGATCCACAATGTTTTTCTACATGGTTATCTGGTGGGAGGGACTTTAAGTAGATTTTCCAACGTTGATGATGTTCAGCCGTGGCTGTATTTGCCCAAAACATTCATTGGATGAAAACAAACAAGGCTTAGAAAAGTAATTAGATGTGTGAAGGCCGTCTGCTTCATGGATGGTCCAACATGAATCTATAAAAGGCTTTGATAAAATGAGGAATAAACATGTAGTTTTTCAATTTGCCGTAGGGCAAAACAGAGCCCGCCTTCAAACACAGAATTTATGAGCTCTGCCGGAGATGAACTTTAACACCGAGCTGTGCTGTATCATTTCCCTGCACTGCATTAAACTGAGCCAGGGAGAAGGTAGTTAACAGTTGATCAAAAACACAGCAGAATCTTAATGGTTAAATGACTATTACTTTCAATAATATAATAATGATGAGGAAAGAGGAGGCTAATACTAGCAGTGTAAGGCTGAATATGATTGGTCATCATGTGTTATCGTCTAAACAGTCCAACAGGAGTCTGACCACATGGCACAGACACTACTGTCATATAGTCAGTAATCATCACCGATCTCCTGAGAAAGGCTGTTGGTTGTGCCAGATGGTCGATTACCAGAGGTCAACCACAGCAGCTAACCAATCAAATCACCAACCACACAACTGCAAGGCCCTTTTTGTAGGCAAAAAATAGGTTCGCAAAATGTTGTTTCAATTAAAGAAGACACCATAAAATAAACTTAAGACGGTTTATACACAGAGAATAGAGTCAGAACAGGTTTAAAAAAGATTTTAAAAAGAACATGCCAAGGGATATCTCTATACACAGAGAATAGAGTCAGAACAGGCAAAAAGATTTAAAAAAGAACATGCCAAGGGATATCTTTGAATTTAGCAGGTTTGGAAGATTTATTTGCGCTGTAAATATTTTAACAAGTTCGAATGAAATACATACAATCTAAGATCTTCTGCGTTTAGCCAACAACTTTTCCCGTGCAGTTGAAAGCATCCTCTCTGGTTGAGAGTTTGTTTATACAAAGTTGTAACAACATTTCTATTCCACACAGATCTTAGACCAGCTTTAATTTAAACCTCTGCAGTATCACACAGCTGAGAGATTATGTTCCACATTCAGGTGGGCCAGCAGCACACAGATCATCAGTCACAATGTCAGCACACAGCAGATTAGTCAAGTTTACACAGGACGCTGCTGACACGTCCCTCTGTTGTGACATTAACTTTTGTACAGAATAAAGTGTCACTGCCTCCTGAATCAAACGTTCATCTGCACTGTTGAAACGACATTAACTAAAATACATAACTTTGTAGTTCACATGAACCCTTTTAAACTGGCTTGTGGCTATTACATCCTCAGGGAGGAAATCTATATTACACTACATTGTGTTGAGTTATTTCCATAAAATCTTGCACCTACTTTTGCATTAAAAATTTGCTCTGACTTGAAAATTCTATAATGCATCAGTACTAGACAATTAGGCTGTGTATCTGTACTAGCGAGGTTGCATGACTCGATTATTCAGTTTACAAATGATTAAATGTTATTCCCTCAGATATAACTTGGTGGTCAATTTGTCTTTGTCTCAAGTTTCCATACAGTATTTACTGACTGCTGAGAGGACATATTACCTCTATTTCACTTCCCCTTCTTCTTCTTCTTCTTATGCTGCTCAGACTCAGCCATGTTTAGGCTGAGGTGAGCAATATGAGAGGCCAAGAATACAATATTTAGGTTATTGATTTTGTGATTCATGCAGGTTGAATGGGTGTGTGTGGAGAATCTGGACACGAAGAAGACCGATATCTTTTTGACTGAACCTAGAGTCCAGG